CTTGGTCACCTAATGTCACCGAAATTAAAATATTTGCTTTTTACTTCTATTTTGCCAAATTCAAAGCAATACTTAACCTGTACAGTCAAGCGTTTTCCCAATACTTTTCCATATATCACGTTTTAGGTCCTTATTTTTGTAATCTTTTAATGTTTTTACATATAGCACTGGATTCTCTTTCACAATACAAATTAGAATCTCATCGATATTTTCCTGTGGTACTTCACTGAAATCAATATCTACGTTCGGATCCATTGTGCAAACCCGTCAATAAAGCACCATATTTTTACATGTGCGTACTTGCTCGTCTCACTTCTGATTGATTATCACATTGCGTTCGACTTAATCCATAAATTTTTAGTCGTAAGAAATGAAATTTCGCCAAATCGCTTGAGGATTAAGGTTACAGCTAAAGTAAGGGCGGGACAGTCTTACGAACGGAAATGATGTCATAAATTACGGCTTAAAGCTCAAGTTTTATGGCTTAAGTTCTCATTGTAGACCACGCTTAAGAGGAAAGTTTTAAAAAGAATATGGAAGGAAAGGGAGAGTAGGATCAAGGAAAAAGAAAGAGAAAAAGAAAGGGGGAAAGGGAAAAAATAAGAGAAGGATAGAGGAGAAAAAGAAAGATAGAAAGATAGGGGGAAGATTTATAGCGGAAATGTAAATATATAATAATAATAATAATAATAATAATAAAATAAGGAATTTAGTAATAAAAGAGTGATACTAGTAATAGGGATGAGAGCAATAGTAATAAGGTAATAAAAGAATAATGGAAAAGAGTTTTAGAAATTAGAAATAAGAGCATAGAAGTAAATTTGTGGATGGGATAAGGATGTGAAGTAGTTATATTAAAGAATGGAAAATGGATGGAAGAATGGATGTTTTGGAATGTTAATTAGCTGCTTTTGTAAACCAAGTCCCCTTCTTGGCTATTGTTTATGGGGAGCGGTGCACTTGGACACGGTGCATTTGGACACAGCCAATCACAGCACCGTATGATTAGAGACATTTGTAGGGTTCCTTGGAACAGCGACTTGTGATTGGACTGTGTCCAATTGCCCCGTGTCCAACTGATATACACCCATTGTTTATGTATAGCTGAATGGTAATAAATTATTATTATAAGCATTTAATTGAGTCATTTACAGGCTCTGGCATAAACAAGCGAGTTTCTTAAATCTTACGGTCCCACTCATCACACGTCAGCCTGGCTCGAGGGTTCGTGTGGGACTCTTGCTTATACGTCGTCAAGAGGAACGAATTCAGCTGTCCAGAACTTGCTAGAATTCGATACCTCGCTCTCCACAAATTAGTCTCGAAAAGTTCCCTATCTCCGAAAGTGCGGGCAGAACAATATTAACACAAAATAAGTACAATTCTTCTTATTCTAATGTTTGTTTTCTCATATTTCAGCTAATGTACCTGCAACAGAATTAGATGGGAATACAATAGCTATATCGTGCTCGGAAAATGTGGTGAGGATGGTTACGGATGCATCGATCGTTTTCGTCCGTAGTTTAGATGTTACGAAGGAGGATATCTATGAGGAAGCGTCGGACGACGAATCCGACATTGACAGATAAAACTGAAATTTTATAATAGCTATACCTACATCCCTGAAGTAATACTGCTGCGATTCCGGAAGTGCCCACTGAAGATAAGTGTACCGAAATAGGTCACCCGTGGGGTTTTAGCCGGTAAGAGTCCGGCATAACTCTCGGTCGTTCTCCAGAGGACCAAGAGTATCCATAATGGATTTCCCCACGTAAAAAAAAATATCTGTATACTTATATACACATTCCAACTTAAATTATTATTATTATTATAATTATTATTATTTTTTTTTTTAATTAGGAAGTACTGCAGCTGGAAATGATTTTGTTGTTGAGACATCCTGTGTTGTCTTCATCTCAGAGGATAAACCACCTGTTTCATTTGTAAATTGTAAATAAATTATATAATCATATAATAAAAATAAAATAAAATCATAATTACTCCAGAAAAAATGGTCAATTTATCATAATTGAACCTCGAAATATGTTACCGAGCTTCAAACAGCTTCAAAAGGTTTTTGAAGCAAATTTCGGCATTTTTAAACTTTTAATAACTTTTTAATAAACAATATCTGTTTTCAAGTAATGATAATATTAGTAAAATATAAAGATGTCATAGAAAATAAGAAAACTGATAGAACGTCTGTGAAAGCGAAAAACGAGACATGGCAAAAACTTTAATTTTTAGTAACATTACGTCTAATTGTGGAAATTGAAAATTATATAGACAATGATATTTAACCCTTTGGGGACGGAGCCGCTCGACGGGCTATAAGGAAGATAAGACTTCATCGCTAATGGCCCCTAATGTCTTTGAATGAAAACGTGACTCTTTTACTATACCTATGCGTATCTTATCGCTCAGAACGACAGACGTCGCGAGCCTTGCAGCTACGAACTAATTTGGGCGGCTATATGCCGACACGCGTCCGGAACGGTAAAACGGCTTGGGCGGCTATATGCCGACACTCGTCCCCAAAGGGTTAATAATTTATAGTTTTTTATAAGATTCTATATTATAATTATATTAAGATCGGTTCTGTTATTATATTATACTAAGATCGGCCAAAATCATGGTAAGGTGTCTGCTTTTGTTAATAAATATCGAACAGTTTTAATTGCACATTTATAAATGTTCTGTAATTTTACCGTTCTGTGAATTTTCAATTGGACTCCCAATGTTTATTGGTGACACTTCTTAGAGATTGTTCACATTGCTATTCACTTTGACACTTGTAATATCGATTATATTAGCCTCTTTTACTGGTAAACATATAATTGCAAACAAATGTAAAAATAAATCAGATCTTAGTATGATATAGTTATAATATATTGAATCTTATGAAAAAATTACAAATTATTACTTAGTTCATGTAGACAGCTGTCACTATCTATAACATCTTCAATTTCCACAATTAGATATGGTGCTACTAAGGCGACTCCAGGATCTATAGCAGCATCCTTGATCGCTGTGTCACCACCAGTTACAATTACGATGTTGCCTTTCTTTCGCAAGAACTTCTCTCTGTCGCTGTTTCATATTTGTCCACAATCTTTGCAGTTGCTTCTCTGAAGCCTTGAAACATCCAGTACACTGTTAATAGCTAGTAATTTTATCATAGTCATATTCTACTTTTTTAACTTAAAAGTGTAACAAAATGCCGTGGCTTATATATGACAATTACAATTCATATTATAATCATTGTACTATATAAATCTAATGAGATACTTTTGCTACTAACGTACCCGTTGATTTATAATATGTGAAGCGTTGAATTCTGAAGCAACTTTTTGCCATGTCTCGTTTTTCGTTTTCACAGTCGTTCCATCAGTTTTCTTATTTTCAATGACATCTTTATATGTTATTAATATTGATGTCAGTAAATTCTTTTCTACTTCGGTGAAGTTTTTCTTCTGGTCCATGTTTTTTTTATTACAACAAGGCTTAATTATATTAATAACGAAAGCGCGTGTGTTGTACATGCAGCAAGACTTCTGCACGAACATGCCTTGAATTTGTAACGCTCCAAAAAGTGTTGCGTTACGAGCAGGATAAAATCACAGAACAATGCGCATAAGAACGTGATAATAAATACGCAAAAACGCGATAGTAAATAAATCGCCGAACATCGGCGGTAAACGAATCAAGCGTGATTCGCAAATATAAAGCGCCGCGAATTCTAAATCGAAACAGATTCTGATCATCCGCTCTTCCGAGAGATCAGAATCAGACTCCGATCCGCTTTTGAAACTCCGAATTCTAGAGAGATCTGAACCTCCAATAACGAGTAAGATTACTGAATCATCTTCTCGAATACCGTTCCTGGTGAACTTCCGTCCGCGGATACGCGACAGGAATACGCGGATACGGAACAGGAGTTACTCCGCCGTCGACTCATGGGTACGTGACATCGACATTGTTCCAAAGACCGTTCCTGGCAGATTTCTGTTCGCCGATACGCGACAGGAATCGCTCCGCCATCGGCTCACGGATATGTGACGTCGATACTATTGCATATACCGATTCTCGCAGACTTCCGTTCGCGAATACGCGACAGGAGTTATTCCGCCGTCGGCTCACGGATTCGTGACGCCGACACTGAGCTAAATACCGTAATACGGAAGATTCCAAGATTACCGAAAGTCCAGAGCTACTATTCCGTTCCCGCATACCGACAGTTATCGGATCAGTAAGCGTCGTTGCGCAGTTTTTCCATCGTATAAAAAAGTATCAGTAGGATTGCGCAACAATCCTACTAATACGATAACTATCGGAACCATGGTAACGGAATAGCAGTCCTGGAATCAATCCGCCGAAAAGGCGCTTTAAAAGCAACCTTCACGCGGTTAACCGGATCTCGACCTCGCTTTAAAGCGAGCGAGATCACACCGTTATCGAGTCGCAGCGTACGAACTCACTTCCGTAGCGTCGAAGCCTCGACACCGTGTCATACTGATCCGCGACAGGATCACACCGCCATCGACTCGCAAGAACGCGAGTCGGTCTCCGAATTATTAGAGACCGCACTCGGGAAGCGAGATCGGGATCACTCCGCTATCGCGGCGCATAAGGCACGTCCGCGACACCGTATCTTCCGTGATCTCGCACGAACAAGCCGGGCTCATTCGACAATCAAAGCCAACTAAGGTTCCGCGCACACAGATGGACTGCCGCAGCA